AAAAGTAAACTTGCAGAGCAGACAAAAATACTATCTATGATAATAAATTTAAGCTAGGAAATAATCATACAAAAACTTTATCAATTAGTACAGTTGATTTTCCTAATACTGATGTTGTAGAAAAAATGTGCTAAAAATTTGACCGTACAGGTACTAGGGTTATTTCATGTTTTAGCATCCTGCACTGTCCGAAAATTGTGGTGTTTTTTTTGGCACAAAAGCTACACCAAAACTGTATGGGATTTTTTTCATAGGGATAGATTTGGTAACTGTATTATTTAAAAGATGTAATGCGTGAAATTTCTCAATAAGTAAAATAAAAGGTTTATTTTTATATAAAATAATGGAAATTTAAAAGTTTATTCTTTACGTATAAAGTTAATAAATTTGTTAGTAATCCAGTCGTGTTTCGATAATGCCGATAATGGCGAAGAATTGTGGAAAAAAAACAATAAATATTAATTAATATTTGTCAGCTGAATTGGCATGTAAGTTTGATTCATTCGTACTGATAGCATTGTCGCTTTGATAATTTTGATGGGAAAAGGGAACCAATTGAAACTTTTTATTCCAAATGCAACAGAATTAAATTTTTGGTTATCTGATTCAGAAAATTTAATTACTTAAATTATTTTTATTTATTTTTTTTTTTTTTACAATTTTTCCCCTTTCCCTAATTTATTCATGAAAGCCTCATTAGAAAGTATTTAAAAAATTGCATTCGTACCTATTTTAGTAGTAATACAGTCAGACCTGTCTATAATATCTATAATATAATCACATCATATAAAAACCTTTTTGTAATCACGCCTATATTAATAAGCACATATTTTATGCGACCAAAAGTGGTGATTATATAGACAAAGAGACTAATGTCACTCGGAATTTTTCGTAATTAAGTTTTTATTATTATTGTTAAATTAATTTTTAAAAGAATCTTCTTACTAAATCGATATACTTAATTATTTTCTTTCAAATTCTGCAAAAACGTCCCAAATAATTGCCTCTTTAATGTAATAGAAAGCTTGTTTTTTTAAAAAAATATTACAATTCATTAATAAAATAGAACTTTGTGCGCAGCATCTAAAGAAAAAAAAATTTTTTTCTTTGGATTTGTTCAAAAAAACGATCCATTACATGTTTCTTAAAGCTATCATGTATACATTTATGATGATGGCATTACGCAATTGTTAATAATGTGCAAGTTATTAAATTTCAAAGATTTCAGATATTTAAGAGAAATTAACTTCTGTTGGAATTGACATTTCGGACCTTTACGAAAGTTCGGACTCCTCGATATGATGGAATGTATATGTCAAAATGACCGTTTTTGACATTAGGGAAGGAATTAATAAGCATTTCCGTCATCCAAGCCGCAAGCATTAGTAATCCTGCCAAGAATTCTATAACCAAGCCATGGGAAGGAAATTCGTCTTAGATTTTAGATAGAATTAGATATATTCTCTTTGGGCCTATTACGGCAGAGGCAGTAATAGTTGCATTTATTTTATTATTTAACATATATTTTTAATAAATTTATTTCCTTTATTTTCTTAATAAAAACTTATTTAATTATTTTGACATTTGATTTACATATTTCGCTAAATACTTTGTGTTCCATATTAAACATAATAGCACCTCAGATCTTTATTATTTATACTGCCATTCAAAGAAAAATTTTAATTGAATTTATAATAGACGATTAAATAATGCTTTAAAAGAGATAAATAAAATCATGCTATATACTATAAAAAATTCATATAATGTTTTAAACTTCAACTTTAGAAACGTTAAGTTCGAGATATGGGTCAAGTTTAGTAAGAAAACCAGGTTTTTTCTTGATATTTAATCCTTCAACTGGTTGGAAAACGAAATTTCTGACTAGCATGCTTAATAATATTTTAAATTCATTTAAGGCCAATTTGTTACCTATACAAGCTCTATTACCAGTACTAAAAGTCAAATAATTATAATTGGTTATAATTAAAGAAGGATCTAACCATCTTTTTGGAACAAATTCATCGGCTGTTGGTCCCCAAATGGAAGGTAATCTGTTAAGTGCTACGATTGGAATGTCAATTTGAGTATCCTATTAAATAAAAGAGTTACATTAAGAATATATTCTTTTTTTTTTTGAAAAACAAGAAAAAAATATATGTATATATATGTTCAATAAAAAAAATTACTTTTGGAATAAAATGTCCGGCAATAACTTTATCTTCAAAACTGGTTCGGAAAATAACCACGGCTAAAAAAAAAATTATATTAATAATAAGATTATAATTTTTTTTATTTTAAGGAAAAAAAAAATTATTACATGGAGGAGTTAATCGTAATATTTCTTTAATTATGCAATTTAAATATTCCAAAGAATTAATTTCATCAAAAGTGGGACTAAATTTTGATTTATTGGGAAAAGCTTTAACTAATTCTTCACGTAATAAATCTTGTTCATATGGATGTTGTGCAAGCAAAAACAAAGCACAACTTGTTGCATTACTTGTAGTTTCATGCCCCGCAAATAAAAATGTCATAATCTGAAGTGTTAAATAACAAAAAGAAAAAAAATTAAGCAAATGATAAAAATATGGGCAAAGTTTTTTAAATAAAATTTTTTTTAACTACCTGGTATTTCAATTCATCATCAGTCATTTTTTCATCATTAGGTAAAGTTTTGTTTATTTTAATTAATAAAGTTAGCAAATCATTGCCATCCAATTTGTTGTTTTTGTCAGCATGGTACTTTTCATCAATCAACCTTTTCGATTCACGTTCAATAACTTTACATGAATTATTGAAATTTTTATTAATAGCGATTGGAATCCTTCTAATAAAAGGAAAGTAACCAGACAACACACTCAAAATAATGGTTAAAGTAGTAATTTTAACACTCATAATAGATTCATAAGCTTCCGCTAATTCACTTGGAGATGTTAGTGAATTAAATTCGTGATTAAATCCTAAAAAAAAATTAAAATGTTAAAAATTTATTAAGAGCCTTATGTGTGAGTATATACATATATTTACAGTATATACTTTTTTCTCTTACCAACTAAGCCAATGACATCTAAAGTAGTTTTTGAGATGTAACGACAGATTTTAATTTTCGTTTCTCCTTTATTGATTTTATTTTCTATCAAACTTTTTAATGTAAAAGCTACATTAACAAATGTTGGAATCATATTCTAAATTTTGTGGAAACAAAATATTAGTTATTTCTTGTTAATGATTATTTTTATTGATAATAAAGATGCATACTTTAATGTTATTATGAATGAAAGCGGGGTTCATCATTTTTCTCTGTCTCTTATGAGTATCTCCTTCTACAAGCACTAGACCTTGACCGATGACAGATGAAAAATCACCCATCATGAGTTTAGGTTTGACAAAATCGTAAACTTGATTTGTAAAGATTTCTTGTATGATTTTAAGATCTGTAACCATAATCACTGGTTTATTTAAATATCCATGATACTTTACAAAATTTCCGTATTGTTTGGCCCATCTGACATACGGTTCGCCAGCCTAAAAAAAAAATGTGTTAAATGAATTGCAATTAAAAAAAAAAATTTCTATATACTGTATATATATATATATATAATCAACCTCACCTCATCTACGAAAAAATTTTTAAAGCTCCCGTAAAAAATACTTTCGGAAGGTGGTCCGGGAAGTTTTCTCAAAGGAGAAATATAATATGGCCAAATATATAATTTATAAGTGAGCCAACATATAACTCCCAACACAAAATAACTAGTTAACGAGATCAAGTTAAAATTCATAACTAGGATTTTTGAAAATCGCAAAGTTTGATGTAGAAATAATGTATATATATATACCGTAATTTCGGTAAATATTATTTTCCTAACCGAAGCGAAGCCCATTCTCTAAAATAGGAAATAGGAAAGATCACAAAAAAAAACCTTTTTCCGAGTAAAAAAAATTCTTTATTTATATAAGGGGTGTTCAATTCCGATTGATGTAATTTTGATGCACAAATTGATGCACGGCATATTCTATAAAACAAGAAATAGAAAATGCGCTTCTTTTAACGGCAGTTAAATAATTTCTTTATGAAAGTGATAGTGATTCTAGTGATTTTGAAAACGAAACTGAAGATAATGACTTGATTATTTTTAATTTATTATTACTTTCAGAAAATAGATATTTTAATACCCGTTTATATAATATACCAAAGTCATCCATCTTATTGGTATAATGAAATTTTACCATTTTATGATGATAAACGTTTTAAAAAAATATTACGAACTTTATAAAACTGTAGTTAATTTGATTTCTAATCATGACATTTTTCAAATAAAAGGACAAAAAAGCAAGCACCAGTAGAATTTCAATTAGCAGTATTTTTGCATATTTTTGAAATTTGTTCACGATTTGGTATTGCGGAAGGCAGGGACGATGATTTTCTGCATAATGCAGAACGCCGCAGAAATCGCGGAATATATGTTCCAATACGGAATATGTTAAATATGACAAAAAATATTACGGAATCAGGGGTAAAATAAGTTTTAATAGTAATCACATGACTTTTATAATATCGATGCGATAAAAAATTGATCGATCTTTTTTTTTTGAAGATCGATCTTTTTTTTATCGTCATTTACAAATTTTTTTTTATAATGCCTAGCCTAAAAGAAGAGGTCCAAAAAAAAAAATTACAATTAATTCTAGAGTAGAAGAAAACCCGGGTGAATTTCGTGTTGATAATGGAATATTGTTTTGTAATTTCTGTGACCATTCTGTTGACTGGTGCGAAAGTCAACAATTAATGACCATCTTAATAGTTTAACACACAAAAATAATAAAAATCTATATGAAAATATACAACG